TGATGAATTGTATTTGCTGACAAGTTCATTGTATCGACCATAGAACTTACAAAATGATGACTTTAAATGTCGCGGCTGCTATTCTTGTTTCATCAACTTGCTTGTCAACAAATTACCTTGTTTTAGAAATTGTTCGCACGTACAGCATGCTCTTGCATATCGAATCAACTGAGATATGTAGACTCTGTATGCAGGTGATGAAGGCATATTGCTGCATAATACAGAAACACCGACATCTTACGAACGGACGTAACTTAAAACGGGGATCAGTCATTGTAGTCTATTGTATTCACTGTTGGATTATTGAATTCTTCAATTTTATTGGGATTTCGATAGATGAAATCCCTACAAGATACCTCAAAGCCACGTCTTGTTGTAGTCGCTACCGTTACGCTACAATACATTTCAATGGACATTTAAACAAGCAAAGGGGTTCGAGAAGGGAAATGAAAGGAAAATTTTAAAAATGTCATTCTATGACATAAAATAAAAAAATAATAGTATGTGCGTATCTAGTAGGGGTCGAAGGGGGGGGGGGGGTACTTTACGAATTGAAAACGGGGGCGGGCCAATTTTATACGGGAAAAATTACTATGACGTCACACAAAAATATGATTTTTATGCATTTCTTATAATACCTGAAAATTAAATAATAATTTGCAACTTTTAACTGCATAAGCATAATAAACAACAACAAAACTTATCAATGCATTAAAAACTTCTTAGTTAAATCCTATGTAACTGGTTATAAACGAAGCACTGGTCGCGATGAACTTGTAAACATGACGTTATTTTGGTAAAAATGACGTATTTCATGTGCTGTGAGAGGAAGAATTAGGAATTTTTTAACAATGAAAAATGTGTTTTATTTTTAAACTGAATATAATTTACAGGTTTTAAATAATCGATTAACACCAATGTATATACCTTGTTTAGTGCGATTATTCATTAACAATCAAGAGAATACATTTTATTAATTATGTCGTGTTTTTATGTACAGGTTACGTGTATCTTACATCGAGATGCCTCATAAAATCGTACTTTCGCAAGGGCATACACTGAATAGATCTTAACCATTTTTTGAATATAGATAAAGGATTTTTTCTTAACTTGAAAAATGCTGCTGCTTTCTGTAAATCGAGGGCGTGATTTTATAAGTACACAAAATATTTGGTAAAAGTCAAACATATTTCGACATTGGCTTATTTACCTGAAAATTAAACTATTTTAAAAAACGCGAATTCTATTTAAAGCAGCAGCACTTTTCAGAAACTACGAAGTATGCAAAAACAATTAATAGCGTGAATTTTTAATTTCAACTAGGGTATGCCCTTGCGATATTGAAATTTGTTAATGACCCACATTCAGTACACGAACTATGCATTCAACACGTGACTGTCCATCGATGGGATCAAACTCCATACATTACATTGTGGGTTATACAATGCTATTTCCACAAGTATTTAAGTTCTGTGATAATAAAACACATTAATAAAAATAAATTCAGTTTTAAAAAAAATCCCCCCTTTTTGCAAGTCGATTTTCCGTTGATTTCTCATAATAGGCCTTAACAGTGCTGCGTACAAACATGTATATTAAAAATCTCACGGATGCTAGTGGACTGGACCCCCCCCCCCCCCCGCCTTTAAAATCCAAGACCTAAAGCTATTTTTTAATTTCATTGTAAAAGTTCAGAGACTTCTCGATATATTGTCCGAAACAAAAGTGTAACAGACGGACAGAATTATAAGACGACCGGGCAGACCGAAATTAATATCCCCGACTGTCGGGGGGGGGGGGGGGGGGGGGGGGGTTATGGGTAGGCGCAAAATGGAAGTTTAATGAATTGTGTTTTTGACATAGTTTACTATGCACATTAATCCCGAAAGCTGCCTAAAATATCTAGTAATAAATCATATAGGCTATTTTGATTAGCACCTTATGAAGAAAAATAAATGCACTGACAAACTTTTGAAAAAGTTGACAGGGTGTACATTTTGATCTGCTAATCATATAATGCCTGTATGTCTTTATTTGGTACAATGAAAAATGTAGCGGTAATGATCGGTCGAAAATCTGAAAAAAAATGTAGCGGTAATGATCGGTCGAAAATCTGAAAAAAATGTAGCGGTAATGATCGGTCGAAAATCTGAAAAAAATGTAGCGGTAATGATCGGTCGAAAATCTGAAAAAAAAATGTAGCGGTAATGATCGGTTGAAAATCTGAAAAAAAGTAGCGGTAATGATCGGTCGAAAATCTGAAAAAATGTAGCGGTAATGAGTTGAAATTTTTGACAATGTAGCGGTAATGTTGACCTCCCATAGTCAGGAGAAAGAGATTGGTGATTTGGAGCATTTCTCCAAACAATGCATTGTTTTAATTGTTACGTAACCCAGAGGCGTATATAGTGTGTTTTGATGACACTGTAGCTATTCAAAATGTGGCAATTATCAGTTTACACTGTACATTAATCAGTATATCTTATATGTGATTTTTAAAAAAGATTTTTTGAACCTTTTTCATATCATTATTTGAAATCAGTTCTTATCTGAAATAAGTTTGAAAACTTAAATGTAAGGTAAGTGTACATTCTTTTAACAGAATAAAAAGTGTATTTTTAAAATGAAATAGATACAGAAATTTTATTTAAACACGTTAACTTTTTATTCAATTTTATTATTTGCAAAAAAAAAAAGAATAATAATAAATAAAAAAAATAACCTAAACAATAATTTCTATCATCCATGCCCATTTTAATTTCTTAAAAAATAGGTACATACAAAATAATGCTTTGTAATGCAATGTCATGCCAGCATTACTCTGGATTTTATGAAGTAATGCATTACCATTACCATTACCATTACATGTAAAGCAAATTCTTGGGCATAACACATTACTAGCATTACTTTGAGTTCATGTAATGCATTGCAATGCATTACCATTACAATTAGCATTACCCGACGCCTGCATATGAAATACATTATAAATATGTTATGGACGGTTAATTTATGAAAGAAGACAAACACGAATATCTTGGGACCCCGTATGTATATTGGGGGTTGGGATAGGGAAGTGTTTTGGTCTACACTTGTGATAAGCATATGTGTGCACATACTTTTGAAGTATGCCATGACAACTAGGTGACAGCTGTATGTTTTCATATTCTTCACACTTTTAAAAGTCCGTATTTATTATTGTCGGTATTCTGAAATCAATCTTTTTTTTTTTTTTACAACAGGATGGTGAATATATAGTTTTCCTTACAAATGAAACAAGTTATAATTTCGGTTATAGTTTTTTATGTATATTGGACCTTCGGTCAAAATAATTCTGTGTGTGGTCAAAAGTACATAGTGTATCTTCTAATTTTATATTTTGACGAATAATGCATGGTTAATAAACAATGACATTGTGGAGCATAACTTTTAGACAAAGAAAAGAACTTACTAAGAAAAATGCACCACCTTACATAAGGGGTGTTAAGAAAGTTCGTTCCAGGATGAAATTTTTTCAAAAATTTCAAAGTAGTGCTTATATAAAGAGATGGATTTTCAAGTCTGACAAAATCAGAAGAGTGTGATTTAGATTTATAGCAATTCATTTCTAACAAGAACTTATAGAATTTTCTTTTCCATATGAAAATATATATAACATCTTCAAAGCACCCAAATGATAGAAATGCTGGTCATTTTGAGTGAAAATAAAGAATAAGTTACTTTCGTTTCTTCCTAGTTTATCTTGCATCAGACAAGCTGATGAGCGTAGGTATAAGAACGATAGATCATTTTTCAAAAGAATAGGTTTGTCATCATTTTGAATTTTCTTTACAGATCTGATAATTTTTGCACAGTATTTGAAAGGATGTTTTGACCTGTGTGCTTAATATATGTCACAAATATGCGTCATTCCTAATTTTTCTGAACAGACATCATCTGTTTAAGTACCTGCCCTCTCCTTATTGAATCAACAAAAGACAATTAAAACCTTATCAGTAGCAAGAATGGACTCTGTAAACATGAAATATCACAAATTGTAAATATCTTCTAATCGTATTTCTTTTGGAAAATAAAAATTATTGGTTTCCATTGTTACTTTCCGCCTCTTAATGGAATTTAAAACATCCATTTGGTACGTTAAATACATGAAGACAAAGAGTCAAGGTTTTTATTTTTGTATTTACCAATTGCATGGCGTAAATTCTCTCACATAATTTATAATATTTATGAAATTATGACGCCGGTTACAAAAACAGGGTTTCCTGAATTTTGGTCATTTTCAAATAAGGGATATATAATGTCTGTTACAACGCACTTTGAAAAATACGCACGTTGAAAAAATTTTTTCTAAGTGATTTAAATTTGGGACCAAATCAACGCACTTTGAAAAAATAAATTTTCTTTTCAAACTGCGTTAATATCGATCATATTGACGCACTTTGAAAAAATGTGTATGGCTTGGTCAATTCTCTTGCAAATCTTAGGTATGGTGAATAATTGAATCCTTTGATAAGTTTTCGGTGATGCGGTTACTTAATTCAGGATGTGAAAGTGAGCGATTTTAATTTTTCATACCGTGAAAATTCTTTCTCTCTTAAATGTTTTACTGTACTTAATCTTTTCCAGTTTTCATACATTTTATGTAGACTAATTTATTGAAAGTTTTCAACGTCATAGCTCATAAATTATAAATAGACAAACCTTTACGACTGCTATATACATGTATTGCACAAAAATGAAAACCAATATAAGCAGTTTTCTGCCCTTGTAGAACCCAGCGTTTAATTTGAAAAGCATATCGATTTACAAACACAGATCTTACAATGATCAGTCTCTACCGAATTGGACAATTTTTAGTTCTCTTACAAACATGCTATTCTCAGTGTTCCGCCCCATTCGACCCCAAAACTTTGATCGTTAGCAATTATGAAAATTCCGCACATCCAGGATTTAACCTTTTGAGAAATGCTGACCTTGCAATGTGCATGATGATTTGTTTCAAGTTTAAGTTGTGTCGCTCAGTGGATTGGATACAAGAAGAAAAGACATGTCGGCTAAACTCAAGATTTGTCTTCAAGAAAGACAACAGTCTAATAACTAAAGGCCCAACCTTTCATGAACTGGAGGATTTTCCAGTGGTAAGAAAATATCTTGTTACATTTTCATGAATTTAATTACATGTTAAACGAATTGAATCAGAACTCTAGATCTGGGTTGATTTCACTTCAGCACTTGGCTAGCAATTGCTTAAACAACATCTGTAGTGAAGATGAAATTTGTATTGGTGGAAAATGTGTACAGGTTTTAAAAGGTAAGATACAACTTCTATTATATTGTAGAAAGTGTCTTTTAAATAATTTGATAGCCTAACAATATTTATATTGAAAACATACTTTTGAAAGGTTTCCTTTTCAGATCGTGTAAAACAATTCTTTATAGAGATTTTGGTACCACAAAATACATAGCCATCCAGCATGGCACGCAAGTTGTTTCGGTCGAACTCGAGCAGGTAATTGAAAATAAAGTCCAGGGCCAATCAAATACAAAATTTAAAAATCAGCACTTTTTAAATTATAATGTATCTAGACACTACATATTGTTTTTCATCTCATAAGAACAATTTAGCTCCATTTTCGTGTTAAAATACCCGAATCGGAAGGGAAGATTCAGGAATTATTTTGTGTCAAACATGACTTGACGTTGACCTCAAATAAAATACAGTGATGACACCCCACAATAAATGTCTTTAAACGCGATGTGAATAGTGACTAATTGAAAACTTTGAGAGCACTGTATCGAAATATGCCATGTTTATTTGAAATTGTATTATTTTTGGCGCCTGATCCCACCTCTCATGTTTCGGAGGTCCGTGTTTCCTCCGCTATTGTTTTGTATTGTTTTATGGACATTGAGATTGAATACTGTTCGTTATCTCCATATCCTTCTTTTACATATGGTAAAATAGCCATATAAAGGTAAAAAATGATAAAATGTTCAAATGTTTTGACAGTTTAATAGTTGAGAAACACTTTCAAGTTGGTAAATATTATAAAATATTAAGTACTTACAACATATCATCCAATCAAACTCCAAGACTAAATGTTTTGAAAAAAAAATAAATGTTCTAGTAAATGAACGGACAGAAAATATTAACTTTGGAATGTTTACATTAAACCATTCCCATCTATTTTGATACAGGAAGAGTGAAAGAGAGAGAGGGAAAGAGAGAGAAAGAGAGAGAAACCGTTTCAATTTTATACTTGTACGAGGGTTGTTCGAAAAGTTCGTGGACTTCTGTCGTATCAATTTTCATTTGACGTCATATGTTATCCAAATTTGGTAGGAATATTCTTCCAATAAATCCAAATGAGTTTTATGATTATTATTTTTTTAAATATCACATGTACATGTATACAAAACCTATCCAGCTTTTAAAAATGCAAAAAAATCGGATCGCGGAGCAGGTAAAAATTAAGTTAGTTACAAACAATAGACTAAAAATAAAAGACATTGGTACTTCAGAGTTGCTGATACTTTGCAAGCAGAGTTAAGTAATAAAAGAAATTAAAACCTTAACAAAGAAAATTATACCACGAGAGCAATTCTTAATTTTTTTCCTCGACACCAAAATATAGGCTCGAATCTGTGATTACTGATATTTCAAATCATAGGATTTTTAAACCCGCACGTTTTACGGAAGAAAATGCAGCTAAAACAATCCGTGTTCCTTAAACTTCAATATGCCAATAAAGGAATTAATGCAATTAATATTAGTAATATTCTTAATCACATAAGGGTCCAGTCTTGTATTCCATCATATTTCAAGTTAAAGACATAATCCTCCATCGTGTTCATGTTCTTTTTCTTCTTCTTTAACTACAGTCCTGCTGGACACGTTATTACAGGTGACGTGCATGTAGATATAGTTAATAATGAGGATCTTAGATCACTTATTTTAAAAGGTCCTAAATATAGAAACCCCGATATTTCAAATAGCGTCGGAATATCATAAATATCATAGCTTCTGTTGAAAATGACGCCAGATATGAAAAAAGGACGTTGACGCCCTATCAGAATGGATTAAATGTATCAGATTCATGTTAAAGTCGCGTATTAAAAGATTGAGGGGCAATATGAAATTCATCTATTCTTCTGTGTTCAATAATCCAGAAGTTAAAAAATAATTACATAGATTATATGATCAGTACTTACAGGTCACTGCCGACAAAGCAAGTACATTGTCTTTCTTTGTAAGGCTCATTTTATAAATTGTAATTTAGAAGAACTTGGATTTAATTCTACCAGAGGTAATCCTACTTTTACTCATACTTCCCTCTCTAAGAAAGACATTCTTCAAAATCATATGTCAGTTTTAAATATTTTTAATATTCCACAGAGCCAAAAGGAATTTGAACTACCCTAGATTCCGAAACTTCATAAAAATCCTTACAAACAAAGATACATTGCGGGTTACAGCAAATGTTCAACCAGGCCTCTTTTGTTATTCTTCACTAAGATATTGACAGTAGTGAAGGAAAAACTTCAAGAGTACTGCGCAACAATATATTCAAGAAGTGGTGTAAATCAGATGTGGATACTAAAAATTCCAATGAAATTTTGGACAATTTGAAATAACAAGAATTTATCAAAATCAACAACTTTAAAACTTACGACTTTTCAACTTTATACACAACCATTTCCCTCAATAAATTAAAGTCCAGGCTTTTTAATATCATTGACAGCTGCTTCTCCAATAAAAATGGAACTCGTAAATTAACTTATTTACCTGGTCATTGGTCATTGCAAAATTATTTTGATAAAACACATTCTGATTGCACATATAAGTACTCTGAAGTTGACATCAAAGAGATGCTCGAGTTTCTAATTGACAATATCTATGTGTTTTTAGACCAGGTATTCAAACAATATATTGGAATTCCGATTGGTACCAATTGCATTCCGTTATTAGCAGACCTATATTTATATTCATATGAAGCAGAATTTGTACTAAATCTTACACGTGAAAAGAAGAAAACACTTGCTGTGGCCGGTATCGCGACATTTAGATATATCGACGACGTATTGTCAATTAACAATGGTCATTTTCATTACTACTTCGATACGATATATCTTGGTGAGCTTGAGATAAAAGATACCACATCTGACACATCTGTTTCATACTTGGACATTTTACTTAAAAAGACGTTAATGGTAATCTAACAACCAAGCTATTTAAAAACGTGATAACTTTCACTTTTCTTTCTTTAACTTTCCTTACTTATGCAGCAGTATACCTTCATCATCTGCATATGGAGTATATATATCTCAGTTGATTCGATACGCAAATTCATGCTCTACGTATGAACAATTTCTAAAACGAGGTAAATTATTAACAAGTAAGTTGATAAAACAGGAATATCAAGAGTCTCGTTTAAAGTCTTTCTCTGGTCGATACAATGACCTTGTCAGCAATTACAATTTATCATTAAGACAAAAACTGACTGACTTTTTACATACTTATTGTTAGTTCATTATTTATAAACTGAATTGACGACAGATTTTTCCGTAACCCGTCAGTAGGGGATGCTCACTCCTCCATGACACCTGATTCCACCTCTGATGTTTCGGAGGTCCGCATTTGCTCTGGTCCTATTTTGTTTTGTTTTATGGACGTTAATATTGAATACTGTTTGTTATCTCCATATCATAACCTTTTTAAATCTGTATAATCCGAAACAGGCACATATTATCGTACACAATAAAAGTACGTCATTACATAGAAAATATATTTAAAAAATTATAAGATTAAATTTAAAGTTTATTACAACAATCCTTACAAGGAAATCATAAATTAAAAACCTTATTGACAAACGGGAACTTAAGATCTGTCGTGAAGTCACCTTTGACAAAAAAAATTATCAGCTATATCCAAATTATGAAGAACATACCCGAGTATTTTTTCATTAGTAGAAGCCTACAATGTAAGTCATATATCTTTTTAAAATTGAGAAATTAAATGAATGTAATCTACAATAATTCTATATTAATATGCACATTTATAAGAATAAAGGAAAATCAGATATTTTTTTCCAGAATTGTTTAAAAGGAACACAAATTATTTTTTTAACTTTTGATCTTTAAAAGAAAAAGACGTTGGGTATATAATTTGTCAAAAGTTGAAACAATATATAGACAATTATTTTTTTGAAGAAGAAAAACAGCTTTTAAAAATAAATGTCAAGTATAAGAAAAAGGATTTAATGAGTAGGTATTGGATTATATTCAGTGTGTGAAATGTATAGGGATAATATTTTGTAGAAATTCTTGACGCTACGTTTTGACGTTACATTACCGTTATGTGTACCCCGCGGTTATGAAATATGTTGATTTTAAAATGAAGTAAATTTATTTCTGATAAATCGAATGGAATGAAACTTCACAGATAAACAAAACAAATATTTTTACATGTCATATTGGGGTTATTTTAAGTTTCTAGTATGTAATATTACGAAGATTGACATCGTTCACGAACTTTTCGAACAACCCTCGTATATATGTGTAACAGGTTAAATGATAGACTACTAAATTATTAAGAATCGATAACGTAGTCTTATATGATATATACATGTATATTCAAAAATACATCATCATGAAAATTTTTTTTTTTCAATTCTTCTATGGCAGTGCCTTTCACACTGTTCATTGTGTTCCTAAACTTGTAGTCGTTATTTTTAAAGATGCGGAATTTGTTCATTTTTATTAGAAATGGAAAGTATGATCGAGATTCATTTTGAAATTTACAGAAAATTCTTATTCATTGCTCAGCCTTTGATTTATTTTGTCTTACATGGGCGTCATAATTGTAGAATGACATCTCAGCTGATTCTCAGAATCTCTCGAGTGATAATTGCTCCTATTCCTTAAGGTGAAATCATCTTTAATTTGTAATCAATTTAAGGATATTCTGAATTTCAAGTACAAGGGGCTTTTCAAAAGTTCTGACAACAGTGCAATAAAAAAATAACCGTTTTACGGAAATTATTGAGTTTGATATTATTGGAAAGATCAAAATAATATACACATATTGTGACGTCACTTTATAATTTTTTTGACTTAAAAACTCCGAAAATGACGTCAGAATTTAGAATGTTTAGCATACTGAAAAGTTGCGTTTTATCCACATGACACGATCGTAAAAGTGCTGCCAAATGCTTATTTGAAAAAAATATTTCAAAGAAAATTTTAATTTGCAAAGAGGTAGAGTAGGACTATGATACTGTTTATCAGCAATTCCACTATTTATTGCATGATTTGTTTACGAACACGGTTTATGTCCGGTTATGCTATCATCGACATTCATGTAAGATTTTTATTTACATGACATGGCTGGATTTTCGGTCCTTTATATAGCTCTCCATTGTTTGTGATAAAACATGTCCTTTATTAAACTGAAGTATATTAATGCAATTTTCTTCAAATATATTTTGAGTATCAGGACTCTTACCGTTTACGAATAAAATGTACTAAATCTTGTCCCTGACTTGATTCTGTGCATATTTTTCATATCAATTCAACTTCGGCGCTCCAAACATCACTACTGTTTTTGACTTTTGAATCCAAGATATGAATATAAATTACAAAAACATGTAAAATCTTATTTATTTCCATGCATTAAAATTTGTGAATATGTGGAGGTACGGTGGGGTTAAAACTCCGCCGCCGCCATTTTGTATTTTACAGTAAATATGGGGCACACTAAACTTAACTTCTCTTGAGCCTTCATCGACAGATCTGACGAATTTATGCCATCAAATTTTCTAACACGATCGCCTATTTTTCTTTGACTGTCAACTTCGTCTTTTTCTCACAGTTAGGTCTATTTCAGGCAATAGTTTGAGCGAGTTTTTGATACTCGCTAAATCCATTTCAGAACAAGAAGATCTGCGAAATAGAACACCATATGATAAATTGTAGTCTATGTAAACATTCCACCAACTGGCATTTGCGTCCGATAGCTTGCATCCGAGTAATGAGCAAAAGTTGTCTTGAAAATTTTAATTTGATCCAATTGTGTCTTTTGTTATGTCATTTTTATGGTCAGTATCCTAAACATTTTGTATTCTGACGTCATTTTCGGAGTTATTACGTCATAAAAATTATAAGGTGACGTCACAATATGTGTATATTTTTCTGATATTTCAAATGATATCATACTCAATAATTTCCGTAAAACGGTTAATTTTTTATTAAACAGTTGCCAGAACTTTTGAAATGCCCCTCGTATATTAACAAAATCACCTGGAATCCATTTCGTCTTTTGAACTTAAATTGTTACAACACTTTTTTGGTCGCAGGTGTGGTTCAGGGAAGGGGGACGGTATCCTTTTCTTTAATTTTAAACTTCAGAAATTTGGTTTACCTACAAACCAAGGTTCGAATATATTGTTTGCAAGTACTCCTGAATTTTCTCCTTCACTGCTATTAATATTTGGGCGTTGAATCATTATTTTTTGGCAAAATATAGCATCATACCTGCAACTGTGTGTGCAAACAAAGTGAATAACGCGTGTTAGCGATTTGTGTTTACTCTGCACCTTATTTGTACTGAGTGAATGGACTCATGAGATTGAATTGTGTTCGTTATCTCCATATATTAAATATTTTGAATAGAAAAAATATTCAAGGATTGTTCAGAGATTTTGAAAAGAGAACCAAGTAAAAGAGGACAAGATGGAGTTTATGTTATTTTCCCTGACACCCGGAGAGAGGTCTTCTGTGACATGACAACCGATGGAGGAGGATGGACGGTGAGTTGCATGTTTTGTCAATATTATACATCGACAACACCTGTAAAGAGGTTTACTATGACATGACGACAGACGGAGGATTATGGACGGTGAGTAGTGTGTTTTATTTCAACGTTATACATCAACATTACCTCGAGAGAGGTCTACTGTGACATGACGATAGATGGAGGGATGGACGTTGAGTAGTGTGTTTTATTGTAAATGTTATACATCGACAACACCTTGAGAGAGGTTTACTGTGACATTTTCATGTTAATGAGCAGACTCCTAGGATGTTGATCCAAACTACCCCTTTGAATTGATTAATAAACCAAAATAAACAACATAAACTGGAAAACTGTCAGTGTTCAGCTGGGCGATGACCGTTGTCCTTAATACGGATACAATTGGTCTCCGGACTGGTTTGGAAATCCTTCCTCCTGTCCTACTGTCGTGGAGGTCTACACACACATACACACACAAGGAAAAGGTATATGTTTTGCACTAAAGACTCTAGATGTTACCGTGTTTGGTACAATGACATCCACACACACAGTTTAAGGATCTGTTAATTACCCGTGCACAATATAATGTCAAGGTAGACATATACTTTACAAATTGCACATATGGCGTACAAATAGAATAAAGATGCTTTACGACAATACTATATCTTTTACTGGACACTTTGTTACAAATATTACAGAACAAAAGCATACTAAAGAAAATGAACGAGACATTATACAATCATTACTCGAACACTTTTGACTAACTGTACATATAAACTAGTGCTAATTGTAACGGGGACCGTTACAGATGTTCCCCAAACGCTCCCCAACTCCCTTTTGGTGCCATATTCCCTGGAGGCTTCATTAAATAGGACAAACTCTATCATTTAAGACTTTAACAACGTTTACCCAGAAGTGTACCAAGTTCATTCAAATTTAAGCAATGCACGCTTGCGCATGTGAATGCATGTGCGTAATGACCATATCATCTTGTCTACACAATCTATATATTTTGATATACTAAATATTAAAGTATTTAATCCAAAAGTATAAAAAAAAATATATACGCTCATTCAAGTGTATTTTTTATTTTACTCTTTTCACGTGCACGCACGTGCATACATGAGCATGGTGACTATACCTTCTTGTAGAAGTCCATTACATCTATCTATGTTCTAAATCCCACCCCGTTTGGTTGTAAACCAAGGAAGTTATAGCTGTTTAAAGTTTAAGCCAATCAGATTGCAGCGCATGTACACGCACGTGCATGCATGTGCAAGGTGACCATAGCTTCTTGTAGAAGCCCATTATATCTATCTATGTTCCAAATCCCACCCCGTCTGGTTGTAAACCAAGGGAGTTATAGCTATTTAAAGTTTCAGCCAATCAGATTGCAGCACACGTGCATGCACGTGTTTTCATGATAATTGCTATATATTATGTTGTAGGATGACCTAATGCATGGCTATGTTCAAAATTTCAAAAGATTTTGTCAAAAAACAAGAAAGATATTGAGACTTTAGTTTCAGCCAATCAGAGCGAAGCGCACGTGCATGCACGTGAGATGTAGCAATTTTGATCATATGATATTGTCTATGCTACTTATATATCCTTATATTATGAGTTTTAACGCATTTCATAAAAAAATGTAAAAAGTTACGCCTATATCAATTAAATCGGTCATTTCATGTGTTTCACGTGCACGCTCTTGCAAGCACGTGCGCGCAAAATGACCTTCGTTCCGCAAATCTACATAACATGTCTACTGACCCTAAAAACATTTCACCTAAATCGGATGTGTAGTTTACAAGATCATTCGCGGACAAAATTTTCCCGAGAAGAAAAATAATAATAATAATAAGAAGAAGAAACAGAGTAAAAACAATATGTTCCCCAACTTCGTTTGGGGAACATAATAACGTAATTAGAAATATGAAAAAATAATGATTCGCAAATAGCAAAACAGTTAAGGCTGACCTTGTTGAGAAATTCCGAAACTAGTTGTTTTAAGATATTTACAGCATTTATATTTAATAAACAATAAAAACAAGGCTTACCTCAGAATAGTAGGATCCTACATATTGGCAATAACAGATTAATTATGGTGAAGTCTGCCATGACTGTTTTATTACAAGATATCTTTAACAAAATCTCTAGAAAAGTATAATAACGTCCTTCTCTATCAGGACTGCAGTGTCCAACTGCCGCACGGACTCAAACTTACTTTCAAAGTCCAGTGATTTGAGGTTTAAAAAGAGTAAATTATGTACATAGAGTAAACGGAGGTTCACCACGGGGAAATGGAATTTTGCATCGCGTTCGAATATTGACAATTCATATAAATGTAGATTTTAATGTAACAGACATGATGAAAGATGGAGGGGGTGGACGGTGAGTAGTGTGTTTTATTGTCAAGGTTTCACATCGACAACACCCGGAGAGAGTTCTACTGTGACATGACGACAGATGGAGGGGGTGGACGGTGATTATTTCATATACTAGAATGATTAGCTACCGAATGGTCAATAAATTGTTTTATTGGCCAATAAATTGTTTTATTGGCCACAGGGGTCGTTCAATAAGTAAAGCAAAAAACTGTTTGTCATAATAAATGTAAAAGAATTTAATTTAATTTTTTTCACATTTAAATAATACTATTTAAGACTTTTTTTTATCACAAAAACCCCACGATTTTTGTTATTGAAAAGAAATTTGGGTTTAAACTAAGCATGGTCAATACACTTTGATTTAAACGGACAAGAAGAGAAAAGGGAGATCGAATTTGAAAATTGTGCTTTTCTACATAAAATGCCATAGAACTTATTTTAAAGATAAGTTTTTTATATGTAGAACATTTAGTCATTAAGGCTTTGTAGTGTAAAGAAATTTTTAAAAGAAAATCAAAAGGAAAAAAGGAGAGTCACAAGATAACAATTGATTTGTTCGATTGAAATTTTTCTGGACATCATTGATGTCGATGATGTGCGCCGCATGATATCAGAAAGAAATAGATTTACATTGAATTACATTAAGGCACTTAAAGCTGTACACTCCTCGTAAATAGGAATTCGCCATTTTCGATAACATTATCTACGATACATCAATGCTAGGGTATACTCTTCGCATTCGTTACAACTGATTGCTTTATAGTCACGGGTATCGGCGTGGAATGGCGACCCCTGTTCGTGCTGGTTATCTTGCATTACCTGTGTTTATATTATATTGCACTTACGTTTATCTGTGTTGTTTGTATACTGCACTGAGCTATACAATTATAATTTCTAAATTTTTTTCCTAATCTACTTTCCTGCATTAGACGAAGTACGAGGGTTGTTCAATAAATAATGTTCTCGGTGCTCGGAAAGAAGCAAAGGACGCTTTTCAATGATTTAGCCTTAATGATTTAACTTAAAATTCTCTTAATTAAAACACATGTCCGTAACATTTTTTATCCAATTTCAGATTTGTTTTAGAACTCCTTCTTGGGTATGACCTTTAATACACTGAAAAATTGCAGATCCTATGATTTCCTTGACTTGTTTCTTTTTTCTGAAAAGTGTTTTTTTTTCAAGTTTGGAAATAGAAACAAGTCTAAAGGTAAAAGATCTGGCGAATATTGTTAATGTTATAAAACATTAACTTTCTGTTTATCCCCAAAACTCCTTCACTCTTAAGGGCGTGCGGGTTTGGACGCCGTCATGAAGAAATTTAATATAGTGGATTCCTGATTCTGGGTCATTCCTCTAATTAACTTTTCGTTTTTTCTTTTTGCACAAAATTTGCTTTCTAGACTCCTCAAGAAATTAAACTGTCTCTCCCGAATACGAATTTGAACAACAACAATACTACTAATATCTAAGAAAATTGCATTTGTCTTTGTGCTCTTGCAATTCTTTGCTCTTGTCAGAACTTCGCTGTTTTTGTCAAGTACATCTTACGATAAATTTTGTGTAGAGGGTTCCAAGCAATAGATTAAAGTTTTGATCATCTGTTTGAATGTCGTTTTCACTCATTTTTCAAACTATAGGGTGACCTTTGAATACTAAGCTTTTTTTTAACGACAAACGTTTCTTAAAAAAACAGTGTAAATTACTTCCGAAATGATGTCTATCAAATTTGCTATGTGTTTTAATGTCAATCATACATCAACAAATATTACTTGTTGAAATTTGGCAAGCATAAGTTGTTATAATTATAATTGACCGCTTCTGAAAGCTGACAATGAATGAAAATTGATCGAAAAAATGTTACATTCTCTTAACTCTTTACAACTTACTGAAATGTTATGAAACATACACTTAACGTTCACTTCATAGAAATATGACTTTCCCATTTCCCCGCAAGCACTTTATAGCATGGCACAAGTTTCTCTAAAGTTTAGCGTAAATGATATTAGGACGTAATTTTTTAATAGGAAACTTACTTTTCTTATTTTATTTGATTTAATAAGTATAAAATAGAAGGAATTTGGCAATAAATTGAAGATTATAATGAACTTTTTAAAGTGCGTGAAAATGCGTGATTGCGGGGAAACGGTATATGCGTGATTTTGCGTTAGAAATAGGAAATGGTATATGCGTTAAATGCGTGACTGCGGGGAAGGGGATTAATGAAGCTTTCATGTTCACTCTAGTTTTCTGATTCTTTACCATTCATTGACTTGTTTCTTATTCCTTGGTATAACGTTCCTGGATCTAAAAACGCACCTGCAAATAAGCTTAAAAATTATATAAGATGTTGGAGAAAAGAAAGTAGAATTTTTTTCTTTATACATACTAGCTTGATATCAGCAATTGTAAGATCTTTTATTTCCCAAAAGCATTGAAACAATCAAAGGAAGATTGCATGATAACATATAAATGTATGTCATGGAAATTTTTATCTATTAGTGTATTTGGGCTATCTTTGAAGATGCTGAAGTTTTGTGTTCATGGGAACAAAGACCTAAAACATGTATAAATGGTAATGTTGAATGCCTCTAGAGATTGAAACTATTAAGAATATGTATTACGTAATTTTTAGAGGAAATTTTGCATTATTGTAAAAACAAATCTAACAAAATATTATTATGATGGCTTTATACCTTACATTTAGCGTAACTAGAAACCATTTCCGCAGCAGAGCTCCTGCGTAAGTAACCGCATTTGAAACGCAACGCGGCACTGTTAAGGCCTACTATAAGAAATCAACGGAAAATAGAAGTGCAAAAACGGGAATTATTCTTAAAACTGAATTTATTTTTATTCAGCTGTTTTATTATCACAGAACTTAAATACTTATGGAAAAAGCATAGTATAACCTACTCTGTACTGTATAAAGTTTGGTCCCATCGATGGACAGTCACGTGCTGAATGCATAGTAAGTATGCTGCATGTAGGTCACGAACAAAGTTCAATATCGCAAGGGCATACCCTATTTGAAATTAAAAAATCAAGCTATTAACTGTTTCTGTATAATCTGTGCGTTCTGCAAAGTGCTGCTGCTTTGAAAAGAATTCACGTTTTAATAGTTAAAATTTCAAGTAAATAAGCCCATGTCGAAATATGTTTGACTTATACCAAATATTTTGTGTACTTATAAAGTCAACCTCCCGTTTTAAAGAAAGCAGCAGCACTTTTCAAATTAAGGAACATATCTTTTCTTTATATTCAAAAAATGGTTAAGATTAATTTAGTGGATGCCCTTGTGAAAGAACGATCTAATGAGGCACCTCGGTGAAACTTATACCTAACTTGAACATAAAAACACGACAAAATTATTTAAATACATTCTCCCGATAGTTAATGAATAATCGCAGTAAACAAAGGATATACATTGGTATTAATAACCTACTTAAAACCTGTGAATAACATTCTGTTTTATAATAAAACGCATTTTTCATTGTAAAAAAATCCCCCAATCTGCCTCTCACAGCACATGAAATACGTCATTTTTACAAAAATGACGTCATGATTGACAAGTTCATCAAGATCAGTGTTTTGTATTTAACCAGCTGTATAGGATTTAACTAGCAACTTTTTAAATGCATTGATAAGTTTTATTGCTGTTTATTATGCTAATGCAGTTTAAAGTTGCAAATTATTTCATTTTCTGGTATTATGAGGAAGACATGAATGTATAATGTGAAACTCTATATTACTCATTGCTATAAAACGCCTTTATATCACAAATAAAATACGCAGACATATTTTTACTTGAAACTCAAATGATATTTGAGACGAATGAAACATAAAGGTTAATGTTATTTTTTTAAGAATTAAAAATTAAAATATTCAATATATTTCCCAGGTCATTCAGAAACGAGAGGATGGAGACGTGGATTTTTACAGGACATGGATAGAGTATAGGCAAGGATTTGGGAATTCCTCTAAAAACTACTGGATAGGTATGATCTTATGATAATTTAAAGAAAAACCTCATTAATTTGAATTGTTTTATCAAAGCAGAATAAACATATATTCATGCCCAGTTTACCTGAAAGGTTCAATATTTTCGACAAAGAAATGTGGAAAACATTGATAAACTAGACATATGTTCATAGGACATGAATGCCCCGCCGAGGGTATGTTTAAGTAATACAACATGAAAATTTGTATGAAATTTTTTCAGAATATCTTGAAAAGCGATGCAGTTGAATTGCTTACATCAGCATGTATCAGCATATAAAGTTTAACCCTAAATCTAACCCACTAAATTCAATTAGGTTAAGGTCAAAGGAAAGGACAAGGTCAAAAATGTTGATGCACTTTAACTGCTTACATCAGCAAGTAACCCCATATGAAGTTTGGCACTAATTAGGAAAAGTGTGATCAAGGGAAATGGTAAGGCAAAGGTCATAAACCGTTGAAAAGCTCTCAACAGGTAGCATCATCATATACAATTGAAAAAAAAAACTATGATTGGTTCATTTAAACTGACAAAAAAAAACAATTTGATATAAGTTAGGTATTGTAAAATGAAAGGTCAAGGTCAAAAATGTTGATGTAGTTGAATTGCTTACATCAGTATGTATATATCAGCATATTAAGTTTGACACTAATTTACGAAAATGAGGTCAATGTCAAAGGAAAGGTCAAGGTCAAAAAAGTTGATGCAGTTGAATAGTTCTCGTCAGTATATGAAGTTTGATAAAATATCTTAAATGGTTTCTTTAAAACTGAGTTGAACATTAATTTAAGAAAAGTGTCGTCAAGGTCAAAGAAAAGGTCACGGTCAAAAAAGTTGATTCAGTCAAATAGCGCTCATCAATATTTTTCAACATGTGAAGATTGATAACACCACCTTGAATGGTATGTTTAAAATTGAGCTAAACACTAATGTAAGAAAAGTGAGGTCAAGATCAAAGGAAAGGTCAAGGTCAAAAAATGTAGATCCAGTTGCATAGTTCTCATCGATATCTACAAGCATTCGAGGTTTGATAAAAATGTCTTGGATAGTTTCTTTGAAACTGATCTTTGAACTGCGTTAAACGCATAGTGTGACGGAAGGACAGCTAAACAGGACAGAAGGACGGAAGACGGACATGACTAATACTATATGCCCTGGATATATTCATGGCGGGGCATAAAAAAACAAAGACATCCAACAGCATTTGATTTCAAAAATTCAATAAAAAGTACAATTTCTTCAAGCGGGAATGATGAAAGGACACAGGAAATTTCTGAGGTTGGGTCAGGTGTTGAATGGACTGAGCACATCCAGTTGACATGGCTCACCCACCATGATCTTATGCACGAATTTACAAGCGCTCTGGTTTCTTTTCTTTACAAAAGTTTATAAACTTCAAATTAAACATTTAACACTGTAAAAATCTGATGTTTGGTCGTTTAGCTGTGGCCTGCTTGGTTTTTATAATTATTTGTTTATCTGTTTCCTTTGTTTTTATGACTTCTAATTTTTGTTCCTTAGCTAGTGACAGGTCATCCCAAAAATTAAATAAATTAAAATGTTCGTGTTGTTTGTTATTTGTAGTTAAATTTTCATTTGTTTTTCTTCATTTATATAGGGAATGATGCAATTCACACCTTAACAATGAATAAAAACCAGGAACTCCGAGTTGATCTCCAGAGACATAACGGAGAACAGGCGTACGCTGTGTACACCACATTTTACATCGGAGATGAAGACAGTAAATACAGACTAACAGTGTCCGGATACAGCGGAACTGCGGGTGAGTAGTGTGATCCGCCCAGGTACCGTAGGATCAAGGTTACTTAAATAATTTGACTGTACATATTCTACAGGTATTTGAATATACATATTGAACAGATATTTGACTGTAACAATTGTACTGGTACCTGACTGTCCAAATCGTACAGGTATTTGATGGTACATATTGTACCGGTATTTGATGGTACACATTGTACAGGTATTTAGGGTCATATTGTACAGGTATTTACGGTCATATTGTACAAGTATTTTAATGTCATATTCTACAGTATTTTACGGTCATATTGTACAGGTATTTAATGGAACATCATGTATAGGTATTTGACGGTTATATTGTACACGTATTTGATGGTACACATTTTACAGGTATTTGACGGTTATATTGTACAGATATTAACGGTCAATTTGTACCGGTATTTCATGCTACATATTGTACGGGTATTTTACGATCATATTGTACAGGTATCTGAAGGTACATCATATACAGGTATTTGACGTTACATATTCTTCATGCATGACACGGTTTGCTCGTTTGTACATATAAGAAATGTATGGAGATAAAGAACAATTGACAATATTGCAGATGTCACGACAAAAAGTGACCTCTGAAGAATATTGACCGAAGATCATTTTTCTACGTAGAAATTTTACTCCATGGGCAAAACCTTATGTACGCACTACAGTTAAAAAGGTTACATGTACAAATGGAAATATCTACTAATTTTTTATACAAAAAATACATAATTTATTAGGATTTGCTATTCTTTTTAGGACTTTACTGATATCAGAAAATATATTGTGATTCAAATCTACATGTTCAGAACATTTAAATTTTTTTATTTAGACTGGTCACGTGATTTTAGAGTCACATGATTTTAGCAAATATACTTGCAGCTTAGAGGTCATCAAAGTCTCATGAAGAGAAAGGGATGATTTAATTTGTTAAAAAATAAATAATAACAGTACTCAATCAATTTGTCTTTGCTGTTCCATTTCATTGACACAAAAAGTGATCAGCTCAAAGTGTGTACCACTATCTGTTGTCGATTGCTGGTGTTAACAAAACTATAACAAGATTACTATTGTTGCATTAAAACAAGATAAATTCAAAGTATTTCATGTACTAAAAATTGTCACAAGTAGTATCGTTTTTCCCTTTTTAATTATTAGTGATAATTTTTATTTCTGTTAACAATTAAAGCCCACTGTCCTTATTGTCTTTGGTTTAAAAAATATCTATTCTTTGCGTTATAACTCGAATCTTTCAATGTATATCGCGTATATCGCAAAATTATTTGCATCGTGTATCCGGACACTGTTAGTCTGTATTTATTTGCATCGTTAGTTTCGTGTTATATCACAATGTGATAATTATGTATATAGTACTTTTACTCAGGATACGTTTGATCTTGTTTGATAGATGAGAAATATGAATGCAGACGTAACCTCTATGAATTTATTAATGACTTTTCCTCAGAAGAAGAAAAGAAAAGTATATATTTGTTGCAGAATTTTGCGTTTTATTTAAAAAAAAACTAATTAATTATAAGATTTTTTATTTAAAGGTGCTTGGATTAACTCAAAATTTCTGTATAATTTCATAACGTATACCTTCCTATTGCATCTCATCCAAAAGTATTGTTACGCCCGCAGATACTTCCGTAGTTAGAACTCTTTTGTACATTGAGGTAATTTATATGATTTACGTTATTCCTATGTTCATGACTGCAAGCACATGATGGGAAAAAGCCTTCACATATTGCGAAAATAATTCTAGGTATACAGTGGTGTATTCACAGACTCATTTCAGTTTAAGATTACCGTTAAGACCCGTATTTATTACAAGATGAAGTAATCGTTCGTATTTGACCCACTGACATTTACAAAATCTTTCGTCCTGGTTGGGAAGCAAATCTTACAGTAAAAACTCTTTTGTACTTTGAGGTAATTTATGATTTACGTTATTCCTAAGTTCATGGCTGAAAACACATGATGCGACAAAGCCTTTACATATTGCGAAAATAACTCTAGGTGTACACTGGTGTATTCACAGACTCATCAGTTTAAGAACCGACCTCTTATTAGACGACCCACTAACATTTACAGAACATTTCGTCCTAGTTGGGAAGCAAATCTTGCAAGAAATGTGTAGAAACCAAACAGATTGGGATAGCCCTCTTCCAGAGAACTTAATGCCTTGATGGAGATGTTGGAGAAATGATCTCCAGCAGCTTGGTTCCTTGAAAATCGAGATATGTTTAAAACCTGAGAACACTGGACATGTTGTCGTAGCGAAGCTACAGATGCGAGTGCTATCGGGTATGGTCAGTGCCCACACTAACACTTTCATAAACACAGCAGACACCAAGGACGAAGTATCACCACGAATAAGAGAAGATCAAAAACATGTACGTATTGGATTACTGACTGCAGTTCTGCGGTGTACAGTGTCATTTTGAGATTTGGAAATGTCGTAAACTTCGCAGTCAAACACAGGATCAGAAAATGGACTACCCATCTGCTGACAGACTTGCAGCAGAAGCATCCTTTACGTACAGTGGTGAAGACTTCTTTGGACTATTTGTAGTTAGTTCTTTGGACTATTCCCTGACGTTTTTCAGAGATCAATATGGCGCAATAATATATACCGGAGCAAAATATAAAATGACTTAAATTTCTCTACATGTATAAAAATGAACAAGATTAGCAAGTAAAATAATAATTACTTTATTTACATTGTGAACAAGTATTTCATACAATTTTTTGACTATCGATTTAACCTGTGTACATAAAGAATATAAACCGATAGAAACTAGCCTTTATAAGTTTGTTTACAAGTTTAATGCTACTTTTTTCAGCTGCACAGTCTCGAACGTTTATTCCTATTTTTTGGGAAGTCCTTAACTTTAATCTTCTTGATAAACTATAATTTTTTCATTAAATTCTACTCACGATAAAATAAATCTGTTGGAAAATATCAAAACACGTCACGAACAGCTGACAAACAGCTCGTTGTAGATTAATGTAAGCTGTCGCCATTGTCTCCGTGTTTACATCAAAATGATGACTTCATAAACTAGTTAATGAAATCGTAGATTGAATGTTTTTGATCAAATTTATTGCTTGATTGCAACCCAGATAGCAAGACATAGTTTGGCCAACGTTGGTCCAATTTTTTTCCAACATTGGCCCACTGTTGGTAACCTTACGTTGGCCCACGGTAATTTTGCTTATCGGCCCAACGTTGGTCCAACATGTTGGCATATTGTTGGGCCAACGTAGGTAAAATTGTATTCCAACTTACAGCCAACCTTAATAACTGCTTGGATAGGTTGGCCCAACGTTGGCCCTTTGTTGAAATGTCAGATGGTATATTGTTGGGCCAACGAAGTTATTAGTGTATGCCAACTAACAGCCAACCTTAACAACTGGTTGGTTAGGTAGGCCCAATGTTGACCCTTTGTTACAATGTCAGATGGTAAATTGTTGGGTCAACGTTCTTATTACATAGAAACATTTGCAATTGATTAAATGATTCTTTACATAAACCCATTTTATGACTGTTTAAAAAATTAATACACAATTCAACCTGCATTTATAATGCATACATGGACATGTTCAATAAAAACATTACTAATGATTCACTGTGAAAATATTTTATACACATCAATCATAATTTCATATTAAATGTTAAAATAGACAATTGAGGTAAAGTATGAAAAATTATCAATTCAAAGTTCTAAATCAGGGCTCACTTCCTCTATCACTGTCCGTTTGTTGTATTCCCGCTCTTTTTTTTCCCTCCCTTCGTCGCCTCCCGTTTTCTTCATCTTTATCTTTATCATACACACTCGTACTTCATACACTTCATCATGTTCATTCAGTTCTTCGATTTCATTGTTATTTACTGCATCAACATTTGTTTTCCTTGCAGTCTCTGTCTGAAAATACAAAATAATTTGATATTAGAAACGATACAATTACTGGTCCAACTAATGAATAAATAATATACTTCAATTGAAGTCTTTAAAGATTGATGTATAATAATATTATTAGTGCATGTTGATCTATAAACCTTAATTTCTTTGTTACAATCGTGTCTTTAATAGACAGTTAAGAATAAGATAGAAACAACTTATAAGATGTTATTTAACTTGTTTTTCATTGTATTTTTAATGAGCTCTAGAAGTTATTGTAAATAAAGTTTGAAATACATATATTTGCAAACTGTATACACATAAGTTATAAATATATTTGTATTTACATTAACTTACAGTGCTTGTGTGCAGAAAACATGAAAAGAATGAATTCCGAATCAATTTTAACAGTAAACCTGAATAAATAAAAATAAATATACTTACATCGCTTCTAAATGCAGCTATAGCAAGAACATAATCCACAAATTTGAATTCAACTTCTTCTTACTTGCCCTGCATTTTCAGTCTATCACCACCTGTGAGCAATTGAATCTGTCAGCTCACCCCACAGTCTGGTGTTTGAATCGCCGCGCGACTCGCAAGCTTAAGCGAACGCCAAACTTTTGTTTCAATTTAATTATAAAGCTGTGTCATTTTGATTTATGTATATGTGGGCTTCATTCACATCCTGTTCCTGAGAACTTATTCAGTCTTCTCTAAATTCTCATGAATACAGCGCTCATGTAAAAAATTCATAATTCATAGGGTTTTATTTCAAATAAATAAGCATGCATGCGCACAGTTAAAAAATACAATAAAACACTCTTTGGTGCTGTGATCACTTTTGTTCAAAGTTAAAATGCTGAAAATATCAGATCTGAACAAAAACAGTCATCCAGTCAAAAGCATGGACATAGAATGTCCTCTTAATTATTTCAGAATGTACATCTACATTAATACTTATATTAGAACCAACGTTGTCCCAACGTAAAGCTCAGCAGCTATATAAGAATGACACCATCATTTAGTTGGCAGTATTTATATATATAATTCGGCCAGTGTTGGCCCAATATAAATATCCCATCTTTGAAACACCTAAACAAAAGAACACTCGTGCTAACATCGGGCCAACGTTGGGCCAACATACTACTACCGACTTGATAAGACTTTTTGAGGGGGTGTATTACAACATTGGGCCAACGTTGGGCCAACATACCACTACGAGCTTGATAAGACACTTTATTTAAGGGTGTATTACAAACATTGGACCAATTTTGGGCCAACATACTACTACCAACTCGATAAGACATTTTCTTTAAGGGTGTATTACGAGCATCGGGCCAACGTTGGGCCAACTACTACTACCAACTTTAAAAGACCCTTTTTAAGGGTATATTAAAAATATTGGGCCAACGTTGGGCCAACATCAACATCCTTCCTTCCTTGGAAAGTAATTTGAATGGAAGTTGCTAACGTTGGACCAACGTTGGACCAATAGAGGAATTATGTCATGGCCGAGAAGGTTGGCATGGTAACATTGGTCCAACGTTGGCCCAACGTTGTTACCCCAACGCCAACCATACAACCTTTTGCCAATGTTGGCCCAACATAGTTATGCTATCAGGGAAATTAAATGACTCGTTCAAGTGTTTACATCCATCGGACCAATCCATCTATTTTGGCGACCGATTCCACCAACTTTTTATTAGCTCACTTGAACCGAAGGCTCAAGTGAGCTTTTCTGATCAAAATTTGTCCGTTGTCTGTCGTTGTTGTCGTTGTAGTCGTCGTAGTCGTTGTTGTCGTTGTAAACTTTTCACATTTTCATCTTCTTCTCAAGAACCACTGGGTCAATTTCAACCAAACTTGCTACAAAGTATCCATGGGTCAAGGGAATTTACATTTGTTCAAATGAAGGGGCACGCCCTTTTCCAAGTCGAGATAATTATAAATTAGGGAAAAATGAGTATCGCTTTTCAAAAATCTTCTCAAGAACCACTGAGCCAGGAAAGATGAAAGTCATGTGAAACCATCCTTATATATTGTAGATTCATGTTTGTTTAAATCACGAACCTTGGGGTAGGGTGGGGCTAATATGGCCGATCAAAGTTTTACATTAGGAATATATAGGAAAAATCTTTAAAAATCTTCTTCTCAAGAACCATTGAGACAAGAAAGATGAAACTCATTTGAAATTATCCTCAGATAGTGTAGATTCAACTTTTTTTTCATATCATGACCCCTGGAGTAGGGTGGGGCCAAAATGGCCGACCAAAATCTTAGATAGGAATATATAGGGAAACCTTTAAAAATCTTCTTTTCAAGTACTTCAAAGCCATGATTAGTAATATTTATATGGAACCATCCTCAGGTAATGTAGATTTTAGTTCGTTCAAAACATGATCCCCTGGGGAGTTAAAATTCATCCCCCCACCTCAATAAACTTTTAGCTCTGATCTGATATGTGCTTTTTTGTAGCTGATGTGCTCAGGTGAGCGCTGTGGCCCCTGGGCCTCTTGTTATCAATCTTCAGAAGGTATTCCCAGACAACAATCTGCTGTTATTCACTATTACTGATCACAAGTAGCCTTTCACAAAATATTCTTTTCGACATAGAACTCTTAGCCTGATGAATTCGAAGCGTAACCGCCATTCAAGCCGATTTAAACCTTGCGTCATTTTTCAACATCTACGACGTCCGATTTGTGCAATAATTTATATTCGAAAATACTAAATTGTCTGTATCAAATGTATACATTAGTAATAAATATCATGTTTAAAGTGGGTCGGTACGTGATCAAATCTTCAGAAACGGCCATCGGCCTTCACAGGATTTGATCATGTGACCCACCCACTTCAATTCCCATTGAAATTTTTAAACTTGTTATTTATTTCTTTAAAAAAACAGGTCAAGTCAATGAATTCCAAGATAGAGGAGAGTAAGAAATGCTTGGTGTAAAGTTATATGAACCCAAACAACTTCGTAGTTGTGTGTCTATTGTCTTCACTAAATGGGTAAAATGCATGTTCGACAATTACGGCCACTGGGTGCACTTTTAAGTTTTTGCACTGAGTTCAGAGTTTTGAGGAGGCATGACATTTTATATTGCCTTTGCCATGGTCTACCGGCAAAATCAGCCATCACTGAATAAAATTGAACTAAAACCATTTATTTGATCACAATATGTATTGTTGGTGTGAATAAATTTTTTTTTCAATTTTCATTTCATTTTAATAATTGTGTTCAATGTAATAACATTATCTTGCTCACAATATTAATAATTGCTACAAATAAATTTATTTCCAATTTTTCTAGCAATAAATGTATTTATTTTCTCAATGAAAGTAATAATTTCGTAACTATAACATTTATATGTTTTTTACCCAAATGGATTACCATAGATTACTGATTTCTAAAATACCACGAAAACATATGACGTCAGCGAAAATTTTGAATCGGTGCAGTGCAAAACATACGATGGCCCTATGAACGAATAACAGATGATACGTGAGATTTAAAATAATTAAAATAACGAGGATAATTGTTAATATCTGTAACAAAAAGCAACTGTATCAATTCTTCCAACTTAAAGCACTACATGGCGCATAACCGCTAAATCCACGAAAGCTAATGATTGAGGGTATATATAGTAAAATACGAAATCACAAAGAACGGCGTCTTCGGCGCAAATCGATAGCGCGGCAGAATGACGATCTCGGGGTCATATGAGTTCTATTCCCGGCGTGGGCGCTGTCGTATTTTCTTTAGAAAATGAAGCCGTACACTATTTTGCATAGTATGCTTATGCCATAGAAAATCCTTAGAACACTATGCGATAATATTTGGGTATGCGTTATATAGAGACAAACTTACAGGAATCATAATAATTCGGCATAGTATACTTACACTGTTTAAATCCTATGAAAATTCTATTAAGGTATGTCACTCGTAAAATTTGTTAAATCAAGGATTTATTGAGAAGTATATTTTGGATAAGTACTCGTAAAGAGTGACTCAAAATAGCAGACAAAATAGGTGGTCAGTGTTCATCTTACTGATCTACGGTACAATGAAGTTGACCTTTTCGCACTTAAAATTTAACTCTTTGGTTAATTACTTAAACCTTAATTATATTTTATCAGATGTAACCATGACAAAAAAATATGATCTTATTTTATGTAAAATATTTTGAATAATATCTATAATTGAAAAAAATCTTGCAAATTAATGCGCGTTAATTATTATGTGACCTTTTTGCTCTAAACAGTAACATATTTTGGGGTATTGAAAACTAAATATGCATAGATATGCAAAAAACTTTTTTTTTCAATCAAGCTTTTTACGACTTAAGGGGAAGAAGGAACTTTACCTGAAAAAATACCTGTCGTTCAATTTTTTTCATATTTTGTATATCCCTAATTTAGTATGTCCCACATACATTAAAAAAGATATATCAATTGGTTTCTAGACTTATTTTTGAGATATTGAGTGACAAATACTATACCCCTCAGTGTATGAGTGAACGTTTGATTCTCCATGTTTTTGGGCCCATCACTCGGTCAAAACTGAATTTTTTCAACATAAATAAAAAAAATATGTCAGCGAACACGTGTCTTCTAAAATATTTAAGAGTTTGAATAGGTTTAAAAATTCGAAAAAGCAAGATTCTTTTGTCACACCACATCTGGAGACGAAAATTTGCGTACTTTTTAAGACAACTTAAACAATAAAAAATTAATTTGCAAAAAATCCTATTATTCAATATTTAAAAATTTACGTTGAAGTGCAAGTTCGTCATGGTATTGATTAACTGTAAAAATATCGATTGGTGAAGCTGAGCTCAATATTGCACGGGGCATAGTTAAACGAGACATGATCATGAGAGAAACGTGCCATGTTTACATTTCTCGAGTACGGGAAAATCCAACTATGACGTCACAGATTTCTGAAATAAGCGAAAGAAGACATACCCACAGAACATTTCCGTCAACAACCATGTAAAAATATTTTTGGCGTTCTGTAATTCACAAAATACCCCACCATGTACAGATTATGACCCGTTTTTATAATTTTATACTACCCGTTTTTACCATGTATGATCTTACTGTACTAAGAGATCCACTATGACGTCAACGACGCGCCGACCGCGCAGTGTAGGGAAACGGAAGAGTGGATTAATATATTCCGTAATTTAATAATATTTGCAAGAAATTTTAAATATTTTTATACTAGATGGTGAACGCAAACAAACGGTCAAAAAATTATACAAGTACTGTGGTTTCAATCTCGTTTTGTACATATTTTATCAGAGATTATGACGTAATTAAACTGAGTCATGTGACCATACATCCTTCGTCCCCTTAAGTGCTGATCAGTCACAAGTATCGAGTACTTTAAAATAATGAAAGAGAAAGTTGGGGTCAGTGATGTAAATTTTGAAATCTTGGTCAAAATATGTGATTTTCAGGCAAAAATGGTGTAAATTTTATATTGACTTATTTTACATATCTTCATTATTTGGCAAATTTGTTTAATTAAGGTGTAAAACTTGTTCTAAAAATACAAATTAAGATATATATTAAATTTTCCTAGCAATATCATAATGGAAAATATTCTTTCAATAAAAGTATGTGAGACTAAAGTTCTAAGATATTAGATTTAATAAGTGTGCAGATTTGTAGAATTATCTGCTAAATATACTTCAACCACAAAAAAATAGTCCCTCGCAAATCTTTCTTCTTTGTAGCTTTTTGTGCAGTTTTTTTTTCGTTGAATGCTAAAACATTAACTTTGTTGAAATTAAATATGTTATAAAAATTGAATTTTGATAAATAGTTTCGAAGTAAGAGTTTCTGCCTGAACTTTTCCAAAAAGCTGACGAGTGACCTACCTTAAACTTAATAAATAAACACTATGCGATAATAGATGGATATTGATTATATAGAGACAGACTGACAGGAAGCATAATAATTAATAATCAGTCTCTCCACTTTGTTTCAGGTGATAGTTTGTGGTATAACAATAGAATGATATTTACAACAAAAGATCAGGACAATGACAGAAGTGTTCTAAACTGTGGTGTATCATATCACGGAGGTTGGTGGTACAACCAATGTGCCTTTGCAAATCTTAACGGACAGTACGCCCAGTCAGCTCGGTTTGGTTGGAAATATACGATATGGTATTACTGGAAAGGAACAACTGAGACATTAAAACAGACTTTGATGATGGTTAGAAACAAAAACTAGAGCACTCAGTGGGGTATAATCATGGTTTAAAGAAATGTTTCTCAGCGAATCAAATTTAAGTAATTCACTTGAAAGCATACTGTTGGTTAGGTGAAGATACATGATTGGCTTAGTTAAAATGGTTTGAGTAAGCATAGCTCCTGAGTTGATTCGAAGACCAAGGCCATCGGGTATCGGCATTATATCAACAAAATTATACGGACCAAGTAACTTGTTCCATGGTTCATCAAAATTGACATCTAAGTCTTTCACATGAATGATATTGGAATTATTTGAGAGGTACTAGCGAAAATAATGACAATTTTTTCATGTCTCAGTGGTCATAAAAAAAGGAATTTTGGCACTTTTTTCATTTGTTAACGCAAGCCAAAGTCTAGAATGCAAGTTCTCAATTCGACATTATCGTCATATGTATTTGTTATGAAGATTTTGGGGTCAAATTTGGACTATCTCGTATAAATACCTAGAATATTTCTAATACATGTTTTAAAATTTCAAATTAATAAATCAATTTTCGATTTCTTAAATGAAAATATGTAAAATGAATAAACGGTGAAAGATGGTAATTGAATATGAAAGTAGGGCTTGTTTCTTCCCGGGAAAACCATTAGTTGTTTTCTTTTTTTTTTTAAATCGGTATCGGTATTCGTTTAGGCCTCGGTTAGACATTGATTAAATCTAGAATGATTTCTTGTTCATGAAGTTAAAGTTCATTATCTTTAGAAGATATTGCATTTCAGATCCCTATCTTAATATTAGAAAAATAACTACACACCTTGGCTATCTTAAAATTCCATATAATACGAAATATACATATGTTTTTGCAAAGTAAGAAAAATACTCTAATATTATTTTCCTCATTTGACATAAAAGGCTGATGCTGATATCACCTTGACAGAACACCCTGTGTAATGTTTTTCATACCAATTGTTAGTCCATTATTTATACACTGAATTGACGACGGATTTTTCCGTTATTTCTTGATCATGACGAGGAGCACACGGCGGGTGTGACCGGTCGGCAGGGGATGCTCACTCCTCCATGTCACCTGATCCCACCTCTGATGTTTCGGGGGTCCATGTTAGCTCTGCTCTTATTTTGTATTGTTTTATGGACTTTGAGATTGAATACTATTCGTTATCTCCATATCCTTCATTGACCTGTTAGTAAAATAGATAAAATATTTTAACTTTTTGACTAGGTCAACTGAGTCACTCAGTTGTTCTATTGCTATCATTTTTCGTCATTCGTCGTACATTGTGCTTCATGAGTAGTTTGTAGTGTGTTAACATTTGAACATTTTCAGCTTCTTCCCCTAGAACCGTTTAACCAGTTTCAAACATTTCTGCCATATAGCATCTATGAGAAGTAAAGAATTTTTATATGAATTTCATGGTCCCTGTCCCCCTGGGGACTGAGAAATGGGATAATATTCACCAAATTTAATAAATTATTAAGGTCTTCCGTTTCCAACGGAAGACCTTCTACTGATTCTGTTGGTAAAGATTATTATTCTTTTTTTTCTTCTACTTCCTAGACCGCAACTTTGAGGCATCATATCTCGCTCATTTCTCAACGGATTTCGCTCAAATTTTCAGACGTTATAGACGTTAATAAACTCTATCAGAATGCTGTCTAAAATTTCAAAAAGCCACTTCCGGTTTTGAGTTATTTTCCTTTAAATGAAATTTTACATGCTTTCGTTTCCAGACAAAGGCTCAGAGACGGCTAAAGCTGGAGCAGAAATTCTACTGATTTTCGATAATAGAAGGATTGAAGTTGTGCACATTGGTTTTTGTTTTTCGATTTCTCTATTCAAAATGGCGCTATATAGGGGTCAAAAATTAGAACGCTTAAAAGAACCAAAAATTACTCATATTTTTCTTTTTATCTTCTAAACTATTAATATTTTGTTAAAATATATCAAATAAATTTGTGCAGAAATAGAAGATCTTTCAAATGATATGTCGAAAAAAGGGCTGACCCCTAAATTAAGGGACCTAGAGGGGCCAAAAGTTTTTTCCAGATATCTCAAAAAGTATTGAGAATTTGTTTTACATCAAAGAAGCAAAGTTGTTCAAAATATCAAGCTTTATCTAATGGGGTCGTCAAAATATGTCCGGCGACGTCACTTCCGGTAGAACCGGAAGTAGTCAGAAAATGCATATTTTTTCCGTTTTTGACAGGTTTTTGACAGGTTTTTGGGTAACGTGTGTCACTAGAAGCTTAAATATTAATGTTCCGTCCGTCGTCGTCACTTCCGGTCAAACCGGAAGTACCAAAGAATGGCTTAATTTTGCAATACTTAACATATAGATTTGGAGGATTAACCCATTTTTGGACTGCATTACTCTTTTTTTTTAAAGAAAGTTACATCCGGTCAAACAGGACGGAAGACCTACTCGTTGCTTTGCAACGAGCTCGGCTCTAGTTTAATTTTTTTTTCTTTTGGCCTGGACATTATGCAGTCTAACTGTTGACGTGATTATGATAAGCACTACGCCTTTAACTACAATTATGCAATACATGACCCTGGTGTCCGGTTCAGGTGCTTTCAAGTTTATTGAGATGCCAGGGTCACTAACAACAGTTGGAAACTTTGCATATTTTATCATAGTAATCATAATTTTTAATGACTTTAATGCCTGGCATACTAAACTGACTAGATAGTGATTCATCAAATGTAGTACAAATTAGTTTCGTATCAGTCACTGTTTAAATATATGGAAGCGTATTGCTGCCACTTAAAAAAAAATATTGTAAGTCGCACGTACGAGATAATAAGTCATACGTACGACATAATAAGTCGTACATATGAGATGCTTAGTCGTACGAACGAGATACTACGTCGTACGTACGACATAATAAGTCATACGTACCACATGATAAGTCGTATGTACGAGATAATATTAAGTCGTATGAATGACATATTAAGTCGTACATACGACATAATAAGTCGTACGTACGACATAATAAGTCGTACGTACAACATAATAAGTCGTACGAACGATATACTAAGTCGTTCGAACGACATATTAAGTCGTACGTACGACATAATAAGTCGTACGAACAAGATACTAAGTCGTACGTACGACATAATAAGTCATACGTGCACATAATTAGTCGTACGTACGAGATACTAAGTCGTACGTACTACATAATAAGTCGTACGTACGACATAATAAGTCGTACGTACGACATAATAAGTCGTACGTACGACATTATAAGTCGTACGTACGACATAATAAGTCGTATAAAAGAGATACTAAGTCGTACATACAAGATACTAAGTCGTACGTATGACATAATAAGTTGTACGAACGAGATACTAAGTCGTACGTACGACAAAATAAGTCGTAGGTACGTCATAATAAGTCGTACGAACGAGATACTAAGTTGTACGTACGACATAATAAGTCGTACGAACGAGATACTAAGTCGTATGTACGACATAACAAGTCGTACATACGACATAATAATTCGGACGACCGAGATAATATGTACGTACGAGATACTCAGAACGAAGCTGCATAACTGTAGATTTATGGTTTTGTATTTTAGTCTTTGATCATATATTAAACGCAAATAATGTGCAATCTACGGCACAAGGTTTGAACGCACTTTTGGGAAGAATTTTCACACTTTCCAGTATTGGTCTATCCCTAATTCTAAACACATTTTTTAACCAATATGTTTATTTCATCAACCTTCTAGCCCTTCATATTCGTTTCTACAGGCAATAAACTCGCTTGATTTGAATTGTCTGTTGGATTGCAGAAAATTCAAATCAAGCAAGTTTATCACCTTTGCCCGATTCGAACTTGGGATTTTACATAGTTTATTTCATATTTATTTGTAAAGCTGTTAGTTTATTACAATTCATAAATTATAGACTAGGAAGGATAAAGATTTTATTCAATATAATATATTGATTTTACCCGTGACCCTGCCTATTTTCAAAGCCTTATTAATTTCGGGCTTAAAATGGTATTATCAAGAGTAAATGGCTATTTAGGATATCGTCTAGAAATAAGTATGAAAGAGTGTTTAAATGTAGAAAGAAATTATAAATTGTTTAAAATTTGCCTTGAAAGGCCGGTTGCTCCTTCCCCCGCTTTGTAATACAGTAAAGTGAAATAAGGGTAATGTACATGTAGTATTATATGGGGAAAAATTGTACTGAAAGAAGTTGGAACTTTAAACCCCCCCCCTCCCCAAAATAATGTTTTCTTGTTAGGGCAAATTTTGTTGTCAACTTTTTCAGGCAAGTTTTTTTTCTCTGGCTGCCCCCTTTCCCTTTTCAAAAACGATGCTACGTCACTTCAAGAAATTTTAATTTCTTTATTTTTCTGGGTGAACACTTTGTAAGCGTAATCCTGCTTAAGAGGCGGGGGGGGGGGGGGGGAGGAATGTCGTGGCCAATTAAGACAATATTGCTCTCCTTTAGAAGATTAGCTCCATATGAAAATGATTAAATTTAACAGCTGAAATAAATCAATTTTTTTTCTTATCAAATTATAGTTTACGGCTGATTTATTTGATAAAGAAACATTTCATGTATATATATTAATTTTAGGGTGGCAACTTTGCCTTAAAGTCATTTAAAATCTAAATAGCATGATTTCTGTTACGGCCCCAAGGTCTTCAAGCTGATGATATACGTAAAACCTGTTAGAAAAATGTCATCTTTGTTTAATAGATAAATAATCATCTTAAAATCAAATCTAGAAGATATTCTGTCCCTCACATCATTAACTACTTCTGCGATTTCATTTTAATTGATTCGTTTGGAAACTTTTCCGAGATTAAATGTATTAGATTATTCACGCATTTTATTGTTTTTTGGGGGGGATGTATACTAAAGGATCAACCGTATGTCATTCATGTTTTGTGTTTTTTTTTTTGGGGGGGGGGGTGCGTTTGCATGTGACTCCTTCATCGTGAGGAAGAATGAATAATTGTTGACTTCAAACAATGAATGCTTACACTGTGGAATAATT